GTTGCAGATACATGTTTGAGGCTAAAAAAGATACTATACAAGTGAAAATTAGTGCAAATATATTTAATCCCAAAGAGTGAATATTGGGGTTATAAGCTTTGTAATGTTAGACCAATTGCACTATTAGAAATATTTAGAAAATGCTTAACCAAGATGGTAGCAGAAAGAATGTCTAATATAATAAAAGAAAAAAAGATACTCAATAGTTCAAACTTTGCTAATCTATCTGAAAACTTAACTGAAAAAGCAATTCACATTATAGAAATGATAAAAGAAGATGTAAAAGAAAGTAATAAGAAGTTGTAATTGCTGATGCAAGACATGAAGAAAGCATATAATTCAGTATCAATGAAGTCACTACAGCTAGCATTACAGAGAATTAAGCTGTCAGATGAAATAGTAAGGTTTATCAAATATTATATAGCAAAAGAGAAGTTAGCATTATAACAGAGTTTGGGTGAACAAAGATATTTGTTATTGGAGATAAAATTGAGCAAAGAAAGACAGTTTCACTATTAGTCTGAAAAATATTTTATGATCTTTTATTAAGAAGAATTCAAGATGATCAGTAGTTAGATTATGAAATTAAAGCATATGAAGTGCTAAACTTGTAAATGAACAGAGTTGAAATTAAAAAGACAAAGCAAGCTGCAGTAACATATACTGATGATACAACTTAAATGGCAAAGAGTAAAGAGAAGATGCAAGAAATCATTTAAATTTTACAAAAGTTCTTTAGATTTAATGATATTCAAATCAATAGTTTTAAGTCAAAGCTGTTAGTAGTTAACTCTGATATAGAAAGAAAGAAGAAGTTTGTTCTAATAAACAATTTTCAACTATAGATTAAAGACAAATATGCATTAATAAGAATATTAAGGGTGTAGTTAAGTATAGAAATGAATGAAGCTTAGTTGTTAAAAAGACAAGAAGAATCATACAACAGTTTATGCAAAGTATATAGTTTAAGAAGTTAACTATCAGTTAGTTAATATATATTAATAATATATGTATAATATCAAAATTGACATACATATTGCAAACTACAAAGGCATTTAAAGGGCAACTAATTTGCTTATATCAACTAGTAATTAGATTGATCAAGAACAAAATAGGGCTATTATTAATCACAGAAAATAGTGCAATTATGCATCAAGGTTTAGAAAGATGTAGAATATTAAATTAAGAAATATTTAATAATCAGTTGGTATCATTGCAAAAAAGGTTGAATGAGTTAGATCAGATTAGTAAAATAACAAAAATATGAGTAAAACAGAGCTTTGTTCTGACAGAATTAATATCAGAAGAATTAGATGCAACTTTGTTAAATAACTTAAGACAGATTTGGAAAAATAATTTGGCATGTCTTATTATACTTAAAGCAAAAGAAAAGTATAATAGTAAAAAGTAAAGATGGTCTTTGGCAGATTTATAATACAGGTAAAACTGTACATAGTTTGATAAAAAAGGAAATATTCAGAGTAACATGTAGAAAGTTAATCAAGTATAAAATATTTTTTACACAATAGTTAATTGATCAAGATGGCAAAAGAATAATTATATAAAAAAATTTAGAGCATTATGAACAAGTACACAAAGAGGTCAAAAAGCAAAGTGGTTTGCAAAAATTGAATATAAAATGCTAGTAATTAAGCTGACAGAACAGTTCAAGCAGAATTTCAAATACAAGACATAAACACTATAGCAATAAGATCAACATGCAAGAAGCTAATACAAGATAAAAGAAGATATAAATGAATACTAGTAAATAAGAAGAATATGAATTTGATAATAGGCAAAGTAGTTAAGAAAAGAAAGAAATATATACTTATAAATTACTAGAATACATCTAGAATTGAAAATAGAAATTATTTAGTATTTGTAGAATATGAAAAGTACTATTTGAATAATAGAAATGATGCAAATAGTTGTCAGTATTGGGTTAAGAAAAAAGGAATAGTGGGCATGCTGCCAGGAATTAGACAAGAAAACAAATAGAAGATATCAGTTTTGTTAGAAAAATTAAGTAAATATAAGAAAAACTATATAGAAAATAGAAGCAATAGTAAAAAAAAAGTTGTAGATAAAAAAATAAAAATACATATATATGAGATTAGTTGTTAAAGATGCAAGGTTTTGATAATAGTCTAGAAACCTTGTTATTGGAGCAATTGAAGGAAAACATAAAAGTTAATTATACAAATTACAGCTTTTATACAGATGAGTTATTAGTAAGAGAAAAAAAGAATTGCAGAATAGGTGCAAATTAGATGCAAGTTAGTGAAGATAAGAGCAGATTAATAATGAAAGAGAAAATTAGAATAGCAAAATAGTCATTATCGACAAAGGTAAAGTTAGCTATAGTATGAATAGTGGTATTAGTCATAGCATGTAATAGTAAAATAGTCATTAAATTAGATAGTGCAATAGCAATTGCAAGCCTAAAAAGAGAGAAGCCATTATATAATGTTAGAGCATAGAATAAAAGTAAAAACTTTAGATTAGTTACAAAGATTAAAGACATGTGCAAGTCAAAGAACATTAGGCTATTATTAGTTAAAGTTAAAGCACATAGTGGTATAGTATGAAACAAAAGAGCTAATAAGTTTGCAAAAGAGAGTGCACAGCTTGGTGAGATTACAGACTTAAAGCTTGAAAAAACTTTGAGATTTCCATATGCATTATATTAAAAAAAAGTAGTAGTAGAGATATCAACAAGAAAGTTTGTCAAGATATTAACAAATATAATGAATAGTGCTGAGTAGCATTGTTTGAGTATAATAAAAGTGATAGAACCAGATGCAGAAACACAATGTGATTGGAGATAACAATGAAAGGAGAACAGAAATTTAACAGAAAATAAATGTAAATCTTTAAAGGAGAGCAAAAAAATCTTATTTAGAATCAAGTGTATTACTGATAGTTTGCCAATGCTTGAGACATTAAAGAAGAGAGACCAGACTTGTATGATTCAGATATATATAAGAAATGCAAGACAAAAAAAAAATCATCAAGGCATTTGTTCAACTGCAAGGAATATGAGAGTTATTGAAATAATATTAAAGAGTTAGCATGATGGTTAGTATGAAAAAAGTTTGACAAGTTAGATAAAAGCAAGCTTACAAGACTTGACCTGAAAAGAATATTAGTTGGCAAAATGAAAATAGATAAAATTAAACATAGAAAGTTATGCATATGTGGTTTAGCAGTTAAGAATATGTTTAAGGAGTTGTATGCCAAATAACTTTTATATAAAGATGCAAAGTAGTGTATTAAATTATATATCAAGATTGTAGAAGAGATGTTTAGAGAAGAAATTTGGTGATAAAGATGTAGAACAGTGGTTAAGTAAAAAAAAGAAAATAAAATAACATCAAAATTAAAACAAAGAAGAGGCAAGACAGTTGTAAATAAAGAATGAAGTATAAAAAAAGTTAAAAGTAAAAAAGTATCAGTGAATAAGATCAGAGTAGAGAAAAACAAAGAAAGGGAGGTAGAGCATAGGCAGTTGTTTATAAAAAATATTGATAAAATAATACAGAATGGTAATAGTTCATACTGGTTTGGTTCTTAACAAAACTAATAAAGTTTCCCAATCTAGAAATAGATTAGTATGACAAGTTGTATTTAAGTAAAGTTTCTATACTTGGATGATGCCAGGCTTGCAATTTCAAAGATAGATTACTAGAAATAGATAATGTTTTAATTAGTAAAATTTGTATTAAAGTTTTAATAAGACTGTCAAAGAATAAAAAAAAAATTTAAAGTTTTCTCTATTAGATAAAATTTTAAAAATTATATTTTATTATAATTATTAATTTAATTTATTATATTTATTAATTTAATTTATTATAATAAATATAAAATTATTCCTTAATCTGTAGATCATTTTCAGACAAATTTGTCTAGAAAATTTACTTTAAATAAGATATATTTAAAACTAACTTAGTTTTATCTGTTTCTTTTTAAATCGCATTCGTAGTATTTAAAAATCGTCCTGAACTGTATTCCAGGCAAATTTGCCTGGAAAATTTGATGTTACACGACAGTAAACATTAGGGGCTTTATTTACCATAATAAGTAATGATTATGGTATTACTGTTAAATAACGATCATAACGATCATGCAGTCTCGGAAAATTTAAAAACCTAAAAAGGCAATATTTTGCTTTGGACAAACACCCAAGTTTCAAGTATTTCACTCGAAGTCATAATAAATAAATATCTGGATTGTGAATTGGACATTATGTATTAATTGAGTCGGTTGATCTAGTTGCTATTTATCTAAATACATCAAAACCATCTAACCGGGTCAAATCTACTTGCATTTGAATGAATAAACTTTAAAAAAAAAAAATAATAATAATCAGGGGTTTTAGAATTAATGATTTGGCGTCCGATTTCAAATAAATAGGAAACGTATCTATGCCAAGATGTGTGACTCATAAATCCTATTTTTTTAACATAAAAACTTATTTACATAATTGTTTACCGGTAGGGCCAGACCAATTAAATTCTGTGTTTTACATTACCCCCTCTTTTCCTCCTCAGCATTCCATCCTCTCTATCGTAGTAAAAAAAAAATCACTATGTAAACTGCAAATTCTCCCCCCCTCCCTCCTCTTCTGGAGGGAAGAGGAGGGTAATGTAAACCATAGAATTTAATTGGTCTGGCCTAGGTATTTATCAAACAAAAGTTAATTTTATTAATGTGTGCATCTATTTAAATTCCCTGTGTCAGAATTTTAAAATAGAAATAGGATCTTTTAAACTCCCACTTATTTTAGAAATAAGTTAATTCTGAAACCCCTAATAATAAAATATGTAAACTTTTGTCGGATCTAATTTTATCAATTATTGAATAGATTTGAAGCAATCCTTTTTTCTATTACCGGTGTTGGATAACAAGCTAGAACTTTCAATTTTTAACAAATAAAAAATGTACAAACTGTTTAACAATCAAGTATGCGTTACCCAAGAATCTTTATTAATTCGATAAACTTAATTTTTATTATCTTTTAAGTGAAAGTTTCTAAAACAAGTCGGCCTTGCTTTAGAGCAACATAACAGCACTTCACAGTTAGTGCACCAGAGCTGGGTTTGTAGAGGATTATCAGAATTAATATCTTTTGCTCCATGTTGTGCCAAGTAACAGCAATAAATGCAAGCCATTCTTTTTTCTCTCCATTCAACAAAATGGTCACCCCCTAATAAGCGAGTTACAGGTAGTTCATATTTTTTATTTATGACGATTCGTTTTCCTTTTGATGAAGTTTGAAGATCTTGAGGCACCTTTATTTTTTTTTTCCAACATCTAAAGCTTCACAGATCAAATCCCATACTAAATTAATTCTAAAATCTTTACTTGAGATATTCGAGTTAGTTACTTTATGATAAATAATTACACAATTTACAAGAACAGTATCAAGAATCCAAAAAAATAAAGGAAACCATGTTCGTCTAACTGTCAATTGACAGTTGTAATATTCACGAAGTTGGTCAGCGATATCTACCCCACCCATGTAATGGTTGTAGTCATCAATTATCCATAAGATCTCCAATTCTTTTCGATGTCTATCTCCAAAAACACGACACACCGTATTTGCATTGAAACTTGTTTTACGGGGTTGTCTCCTGTTACGAATAACTTTCCAATTTTCACCAACGATTTCATGAATGGTAGTTAGCATTGTTACAGGGCCATTATCTATCCAAAAAATAGCCAAAATGTCATTAATTACTTTTTCCAAAAGTGTATTCCAATCTAATGCTATTTTTTTGCCAATTTTTAATTCTTTAGGAAACCTGAATAAATTTGTACGAATGGTGCCACAGGCACCCATACCCTTTTCTCGTAAATATTTAAAAAGCGGAATACTTGAAAAATAATTATTCATATATATGTAATACATTTTATTATTAGGGAGCACATTGGCCAAATGTGCGATCAAGCATCCAATATTATTAAGCCCGGAAATAGATTCTATCAAGTCATTTTTTTTAACTCGCGAAGTAAACACAAATGCCCATGTATAACTATAATCGCATAGAGAAATAATCTTATACCTCTCTGGTGTAGGTTTGTTTTTTACCCTTACTGTGTGTATACTTCGCCCGGAAAAATGTACGATCATTTCATCAATAGATACTTGTGAACTAGGGACATAATATTTTTTAACTGTACTTTGAATATGCGACGTGAATGGTTCGACCTTCAAGTACCATTGTGTATGAAGTTGACCTAGTGCAGAAATATGAAAGAATCTTTTAATTTGTTGGAACCTATAAAGAGATATAAACCTTTTAATTTTGTGGTTCGTCCTTTTATCGTCTTGATTCCACAAATCATCTAATGCATTAATATGATGAACTCCCATGTAAATGATCAGCCCAAGCCAAATCTTCAGTTCATTTAAAGTTAACGGATTCCAAACCTGACCACCTTCTCTACCTTTTACTTGCTCATATGTATTAGTGTTCTCGACCATTAACTGCAACTGCTCATTGGTAAAAAATAATCGAAAGAGTGAAAGTGGTGATACGATACCTAGTTGAAGTTCATGGGGAAGTGTAGCATATCCTTTATGAAGTGGATGGATATTTTGAATAGGATTAAAAGTGGGTGATTCTAATGATAATAATTCTAAATTTAAATAGTTACTTTGTTCTTCATTCCTTCCTCTTCCTCTACCCCTTCCTCTTCCTCTACCTCTACCTCTTCCTCTACCCTACCTCTTCCTCTACTCCTCCTAGTACTCACTCCTATATTTGTATCTTCATCCGATTCTTCTATATATTCTTGTTCTTCTTCATTTATTGCATTATCAGTAGCTCTTACTAGTTCACGATCGATTACCAATTCACCATGGTAGTCACGTTCAAAAGTAACTAAATATTGCAGATCAGAATCTTCATTAGAAGTTGTATTATCAAGAGACATGATTGAAGGTTTATTTATTTATTTTATTTATTTTTTTATTTTTTTATTTTTTTTATTTTTTTTTGATGACAAAAAAAAGTATTGCCAAAGTGATTTAAGGAATTTCTTTTTTCTTCAATAAAATAAAAAAAAAGAATGGAAATGGTGCCGCCACGAAACTTTTTTTAACAAAAAAGCATATGGTAAACGAATTTTTTATTTTTTTAGAATGATAAAAGAACATAATTAACATAGGTTGCTAATAAGACAAATTGTCAGGTTGTCAGGTTTGTGTGTTTGTACGTGAGACATTAAGCGATAAATACAAGATTACTGTACTTTGTCCTAACCGGTGTCTTATCATGTAATAAAGAACAAAGAACAGTGAAAAAAAATAGCATATACGAGCAAAATGGTAGTTTACCAACTACCTCAAGGCACATATGGCAATCTCACAATCGCTTGCTTCAGTTTATTTATATTCTACAAGATGATTATTTAGCATTTTTAATTTAGAGTAGCTTTAAATGCACTCAAACATTTACGTATCATTTCACATGTGATGAAGAATCAAAAGAATAGTTATAATCCAAATAGTACCCGTATGTACAGTGCAGTACGTATAATTTTTTGATAATAGGAACAATAAAGTACATATGTACTGTATGTTTCAGCAGAGACAGTGCCCGATCTAAAGTGAATCCCTCTCACCTGTGATCAATCACAATTTAAATTATTTATGTTGGATTCAATTGTGATGGATATAATCTCTCACCAAGTTTAATATATGTATAACATTAATGGTCTCTGCTGTTACTGTATGTATATATGTATGTACGTACTAAAGGTACTGTGATAGTGCTAATTTATGTTCTTAATCGTTACGCATTTATCAGTCTTTAAAAGAGGAATACATGCGGGCACTACAATAATGCTAATTTTAATCTGTCAATCAGTTGATCACAGGCATTTGTTAACTTTTTAAATCATTCTGTGTTGTATTCCAGGCAAATTTGCCTGGAAAATTTATTATCAAATGATTGTGCAGGTTCTTCCGATTATGGAACATCATGCATTAGGGGGGCTTTTAATTAGTACGATTTAATGCTATGCAGAGATTTACTAAATGTTTTAAATTTTCCAGGCAAATTTGCCTGGAATACAGATTAAGGGATATTTAAATTTAAATTTTACTAATTTATATGTAATAATAAATTTTTTATTGATATATAATTTACTATATCTTTAGATTATTATATTATAAAAATTTTTTATTTAATTTCTTATAAAATTAATATTATTTAAAAAAATAAAAAAAAATATGTTTTTTTAAAAAAATTGTTTATATTTTAAAATTTTATTAATATAATCAATTTTAACATATTAATTAAAATCTTTTTATATGGTTCTTTTTATATATATATAAACTAATATTTATCTTTTATTTATATATAAATACAATATATAACACTTAAATATTACACTATTTGAAAATGATAATCATAATGTAGTAGTCGGATTGTTATTCTTTAAGTAATAGGCCTAGTGTTCAAATTCTACTTATAATTAAATTTAAAAAATTATATCTGTATTATAACAAACTGTCTCTTGACAATCAATTAGATTAATATATTTGTAACCTTAAGTTATACTATTTCAAATAAAAGCTTAGACATCTATGCAAAATATAACATTACATATATATAAAAAAATGTATAACTAATATCATATAAAGCTTTAGTGCAAATCTATAATAAGACTACTAGGCCAATAAACTAAAAAACTAAAATGTCAGAAGCTTAAAAATTCTTAAATAAAAAGATAGCATAAACTTTTAACAATATAGTTAAACTAATGAAAGCTTATAAAACATTTTCAAAAGAATAAGTAAATAAACTAAATAACAAAATATATAGAAAAGCATATAACTAACCAAACTGTGAAAATTACTAAAAAAAAAATATATATATATATTATATTAGACTATTTGAATTAAAAGTCAAAAGAGTTCTGTTGATCCTAAGTAGCAGTTAGTAAAGAATGATAAAGAAGATATTATAATAATAAGTACTAAGGTTTTAGTGAACTTTACAAGAATAAAAATAGTATTACATAGTAGTTAAACAGATAACCTCTGTGATTGCAAGTGTTAGGTAACTATAGTATATTATATAAAACTAGATTAGCTATATATAAGACATGAAAAGTTTTAATAAGTTTTCTGTTAAGAATGAAGTAATTCTAAGAGTTTTGAAGACATTAGATACTTTGAATAGATGTAGCTCTAAAAATATCATTATAATACAAATTAGACTATATATGTAAAGGGTTTAAATAGAAAAAATCTATAATTAACTTGCAGATATAACATTTAGTATAGAACCTATATAGTAATATATAAGCAGATTACTTAAATTAGACATCAAAAGTGCATTTATAACTAGTTGTATAGATGCTTTTAGAGGCATTCATGTTCAAATATTTGAATAAAAACAATAATCTCCAAAGACAAATTTTAATTTAAAAAAATTATAATATTTTATTTTAAGGTTATTAATAGTTACTATATAGTAAAGTTAAAATTTTATTATATAAATTAATATTTATATATTGTATAAACTGGTTCAAAAGATCAAAATATGCATATTTTAAATATTTTATTTAAACTAGATAACTTTTTATTAATATAATTTTGTATATTAATATTATAAAAAAAAAATTAAAAAAATTAATTAAAGCAATTCTATTTGAGTAATACTTTTAGAATATATATATTTTAACTTTCTAAGCAACTTTATTTAATATACAAATATTAATTTACATAATAGATTTTTGATTTTACTATATAACAACTGTTAATAATTTTTTTTATTATTAAAGACTACTTAAATTCATAAATATTTACTATTGTAACTAGTATTTTATCTAGATTAGATTAGTTTAAAACAGAATCTGATTATGATACATATACAATTAAGAGGAATTTATATAAGTTAAGTTACTAAAATATATAATAGCACCTAATATTAATAAGATAAGATTAAGGTAACTATATATTAGAGATGCAAAAACATAGTAATATATAGTTTGTTATATTAAAAATAATATAACAATGTATATTATTTTTTTTTTTTTTTTTTTTTTTTTGTTATGCCAAAGTAGAAACTTTATTAAGTAATAAAACAATTACATTAAAGAT